CCCCAAAACCCCAAAACCCCAAAACCCCAAAACCCCTTTATTATTATTTCAAGTTGACAACTTTTAACTTGCTGCTGTTGATCTTTAGAGGAAGAATTCGAATGGAACAGGCCTTCTCACAGCATTTATATAGCCTTCTTTGTATTTGAAGATGAATTTGGACCCAGTGCTTTCTGCTTCCATATCTACCCTCTTTCTCTTTGAATCGAGGAAGCTGAAGTTGCTGGCTTTGCTATGATTCTCTTTGAGAGTGCTAGAAGAAGGATTCTTAGGTTTTTGTGTTCCATTACTCTTGCTAGCATACACCTTTCCTGCTTCTTTCAGCTTCATTCTTAACTGATATGCTAGTGCAGAAGTTGTAGACGTCTGGAATAGGCCTAGGGATTATACAAACACTCCTTACTCTGACTAGATTTGGTCTTGAGACCTAATTTCTCACTCCTGGTCATTGTTCCATCCAGCGAGATCTTTCGGACAATTTCAAGAGGGAATATCTTGATCATTTTTGAAATCTCAGTTAGGATTTTGTAGTCTAACTCATTCAAGACCGAGTTCTTCACCAAATTAGCATTTCTGTAAATAAATGGCAAATACGGGATGATTTCCCTGAGAATTTGTTTGGAATTAATGTATTTGAGAGCTAAATCATTCTCTTTCTTGAGATAGTCAAGCTGGACATCATATTCCTTAGTGACTTCACCACTTTGGTTAACCCTCTTCATCTCTCTGATAGCACTCTTAATCTCACTCATGCTGATGTAGAGTTCATTGAAGATTTTAGGATACTCATTCTTAATTGTATTTGTATGAGATAAAAGGTGATGACAGAAGGCAGCCGGTAGATAATTTCCACCCATGAGTTGATAATTCTGGTTAATTTTGGTGAAACTATCAACTCTGTTATAATCCACGAAGGATTCCAAGACAGTAGCTGCTTTATCCATGAACTCATCGTAATAATTATGCGAAAGGTAGTTCCAGTAAAGGCCTTCAAAGAATTTGATAGGTCTGTCACATTCTTGTATGGTCTTTTGAATCTGCTTCATTGACAGCTTCTTGTCATACTTGGATTTTACCTTGAAGATCTTATCCCAACAGTCGAACACACTTGAGAGCATGTCTTTCTTAAACTTGAAACCTCCTGTTGAGTTGAATAGATGTGCCTCTTTAATGACCTTCAGATCTTGAGGCTTCTCTGAGAAATGTCTTTTCACTTTCTCAGGCTCAAGACCCGAAGAAGTGTACTTAAGAATGTTCAAGCAACTTGTGATATCATGATTTGACTCTATTATCAGCTTCTTTAGTAGTGAAGACTCTATATGGATCCCTTCCTTATAGCCGATTTCAGTAAGCCGATTCAGCATCTTTTTAGACTCAGGCTTTCTAATTTTGAACGTAATACCGATCTTTTTGATATTATTAAGACTTCTGCTATAAATATTCCTGCAGATGAGGATAATAGGCCTTTTGACCTCAGTGGTTACCTTCTTGGCACTCCTTTCAACCTTTGTCTTTACAATTTTGTGGGTACCAAGACCTTCAAGGGATTCTTGGCTGCCACCTTCAGAGGACTCTTGAATACCTTTGTATTTATGCTCATACTTGATCGAACCGGTGTTGAAATATTTTTCTAAGAGATGTATGATTGTTCTCCCGGTATAAATATCTGGGTCTACTCCATCAACAATAAGTCAGGTTGGCTTATTGTTTTTGTTCTTCCCATAATTGAATAAGCTGCGATTTTGAGTAGAAAATAGTATCCTTTCAGTAAGCTCATCATGAGTGTAACTCCCATTAGCATCTAGGTTCTCTACATTAAAGCCTGCATGGGCTGCTAAGGTCTCTGCAAGGACGGTTTTGCCCATTCCTGGATCGCCTCCGATGATCAGAATCCTTTGGTCCTTGTAATCAAGGTCTTCAGGATCTATTATTGTTGGATATTGATATTCTCTAGTCTTGAACTGTCTTCTATGATTTTCAAATCCCTTGAAAGTTTTCTTCGTAATAGGATTGACATCTCCAAACAAAGAGCTGCTATTATCCTTAGCTTTATTGGTCAGGTTCCATGAACTAAGCCAAGTGAGGATATTCCTATTCGTAAGCTCATCAGTAAGGAGCTCATAGAACTTCTTCGGCTTGTACTTGCTAATCCATAGGTCATCAAGGGGTCTTTCTTTAGACACATTTTCTATATTTTTCTGCTGTTTCGCTGCTTCTTTGAGCTCCTTTTTCTGTATAATTCTTGCCATCATCACATCAATAGGCTCTTCTAGTAATTTTGCTGCGGTTTTAGGTGCTATTTTGGTGTCAAAAATAACTTACCTTTCGCTCTGAGTAGTTCATGAGGGTTTTCCTTCAAGACTTTGTACTCTTCCTTCCTGGTATGGCCATCTTGGGTTACTACATAAGCTCTAAAGGAAGATTAGAGAGGAGCTCTACTTCAGTGATGTGGTCAAGTGCTTGAGCGAGTCCAGCTCGATCTCTGTTGTCGTTGAGAAACAGTTTGATGAAGCAATAAGGGAATTTTGAGTATCCTCAGGGTTTGTTTTACATAGAGGTGGATGCATTTGATCGTAATCGTCTCAGAATTGCTCGAAGCTCATTTTTGCGGGATTTGTTTTACGTTCAATTTAATTATTTAACAAAGGGGTTTTGGGGTTTTGGGGTTTTGGGGTTTTGGGG